TGGTTGTGTACCATTATAACCATCAGATGGTGCCGCAGAGCTGTATGAAGGATAAGTTTGCTGAGCAGGCACACTTGATGCATATCCATATTGCTGTTGTGGAGCCATGTTTGAACCATACGATGGTGCTGCGGGAGTTGAACCATATGACGGTGCTGCTGGTGTTGAACCATATGATGGTGCTGCGGGAGTTGAACCTTGGTAAGGCACATCACCAGGAGGTGCTGCTGGCCTTGGAGGCCCATATCCTTGTTCGGCTGATCCTTGCATCCCGTAAGGTCTACTTGGCTGCTGCATTTGGTGCTGACCACCTACTGATGGATATCCCTGTTGGGAGCCTCCATATCCTCCATAAGATTGCTGCATAGGAGGATTATCATAGTGTGGCTGATCATACATCTGCCCATAAGTCTGCTGAGCACCTGCCTGGGAGTAAGGAGCACCATGGGAGGGCACAGGGCCTGGGTTTTGACCTCCTTGCCTACCGTAATAATCATATGGACCAGAATGTGGAGGTCTTTGTTCCCAACCAGAACCATATCCACTTCTAGGAGGCATATGTTGTGGAGGATAGCCGCCAGAATTGGGAGGTCTGAAATGTGAGCCTTGAGACGGGTACGGTCCACCATGGTGGTAATTGTATGGCATTGAATGTGGTCCATGAGGACCACGCGAACCCCATTGAGGTGGACCACCTGGTCCTCGAGGTTGGTAAGCCGACTGGTTAAAACCACCAGAATAGGGCGATGGTCTTCCATCCTACAAAACATACAACAATGAAACCTCTTTCAACGAAAAACAAAGTGGACATAACATATCACACAACTGACAGAAAGAAAGCAATGTTATTAAATCTTTAACTTAAAAATGCCAAACAATAAAATCTCTAAGTTGACAAAATATTCGAAAAAGAGGATATGACTAATATTATAGCAAGACAGCAAAGAATTTCATCAAACAGATCATATGCAGATGGTATTCGCAACCATGACATGGGCCAAAAATTATCAAATGCAGTAAAAGTGGTAACTCTGCATATAATTCCGCTGTCAATAGCATTCCAAGTTGTTTAAAGCTGAACATAAAGTTTGGCCTCAACTTAGTACCTAGCCTAAAACTGCAGTACATGCTTGAAATCATACTAGAGCTGATCATTAACAGTAAGCACAAAGGTCTCCAGGCTCCCCTTAAGTAATTCCATTATCATCTGAGCATACCTAACACAATTTTTATGCACTTGGTTGTAGCAGGAGTACTAAAAAAAAGTTCTGTTCACATTGCAAACTTGGCGGTTGACATATATATTCTAGATTCTCTTCAATGTCGTTAATCAAATAAGAGCAAGCGCCATAGGCCATGAAAGTCTTGCTGCTAGATTTACACAGCGGTACTGTAATATATCCATGCTCACACTAAGGTCCTGAAGTTTTCAAAGAACAAAAGCAGCCTTACCGACTACTAGAACCTGCAAGCGTGAATGAGAACTGCCAAATACCTTCATCCGTAGACCTGGGTGATGTCTATTGTACACCAACAAGGCAATGCTGACCCCCAATTGAAAGGTAATAGCCACATCTGCATTTTTAAAGCCAACACCAATTCGAGATCGAGACCTTTAATTTTAAATATCATGGCAAGTGACATCGAGGATGGAACATATGATCTTCTTAACAGGAGAAAATGATCATCTCTCTTACAATATTTACATATTTTCTCAAGCTATCCTTCTAATTTCAGCAGCATGAACCAAGTACTCCATTAGGACATGAATATGCAGCTATTCACTAAATCAGGGGAGCCTGCATAGATTTGCACTGAACTTCCAAACTAAGACAGCAGAGCTTTTGCATATGCTTAAAGCAGTAAAACAGTAAAATAATCCACAATCAAAATGACTAAGCCCCAAAAACATAAATCGAATGTCAATCAGCTTAAAATGACCTATAGTTGATCATAGATAACTAGCTAGTTTTACATAGATTGCATAAACGAGAACATTAGCAAACAGATAGCACGAACACGAAAACACAGATTTATCACCTCTATTGATTATGTAGTTGCATTGGTGACGATTAAGCCAAAACAAACATCAGGATATAATTATCGAACATCTCGGTATACCAGACATAACGTGCACCAAGATTAATGAAAAAAAGCAGTTAAACACTCACATGCTTCAATTTACATGGGTGCAAAAACTAAAAGCAATGACATAGTTCAGAGAAATAACATCAGAAGACAAACCTGGTACATAACATCCTTTATCAAAGCTGTGGCTATATCAATCTGCCTTTTATCACCAGAAATACGAACAGTTCTCTCCTTAGACCCATCACCTTCACTTTGTGGTATTAACTATATGAAAACTATTTTAGTCAGCTGTTACACGTAAGAAGCAATATTGTAACAATCTTTCTCTGTACTCTCCATACATTCAAGATTAAATAGAAGTAATCACCTGGATGCGTGCTCTCGACTTAGTCTGCATGTTCTTGATAGTCTCCCCACCTCGGCCAATAATCACACCAACCTGTCGGTCAAGATGGATTAGGTATCACTTAAAGTTGGCCAAGCAGAAAAACTACCAGGGTCTACCTTATCATTTGGAACTTTAATCTCCATCTGTTCTGGGACACCCCTTGCAGCAAGGGCAGGTACACCTCCTGCTTCAGCCTGGGATTGCAGCAGAAGAAAAAAAGTAGCCAACTCTTAGAAAAGACAACAAACAAATTGTTAAAAAAAAAAAAAAACCAACACTAGTGTCAAAGAAAACTTCAAACCTCTGCTATGACTGCATTGATAAGCTTCTCTGCTTTCTCGATACAAGCAACAGTTCCAATTATCTCCACCGGTCTTAAAGCTGAACTTGGATCAGCCTCTGCATCCCTCCGGATTTGGATTTTAGCACCAGAATTGACCTGAAGATACCTTACCATCTCCCCACCTTTACCAATAAGTGTACCAACCTGTCAAGTATGACGAGTGCACATATGTGAAAAAAAAAACTCAGTAAGACTTACTCACATAAGAGTCAAAAGGAAAACCAAATCAAGTCACCTTCGAACTCGGAACATCTATTCGACGAGTGGTGGACTGGGTATCATCAACCTCCTTATGAGAACTGTCACCATTTACTTCTTTACTTTCTTCATGAGAACCACTGCCATTCAATTGCTTACTCTCGCCACCAGCATTAGCTTCCTTACTTTCATTGCCATCATTAACTGCCTTGCTTCCGTTTTCAACTTCTTTCTGAGCAACTACATCATTCATTTCCTCACTAATGTTCACGTCCTTACTTTCTTCAACAGAAACTTCCTGGGAAGTTGCAGCCTCATCAGAAGCTGGTTGGTTATCCTCAGACTCACCGTTAACATCTACATCCTCCTCCTTATTTTCAGATTCCTCAGCGTGAAGGGGCTCCTGAACTTCCTCAATTAGAGATTTACCATCTTTGTTCTCATCTTTCTGCGCAATGGATTTCACAGTTCCCTCCTCCTCAAGCCTCTCCTCACCACTTTCTAGAGCTTTCTCAACACCTACATCACAATGCCTCAACAAAGACCAATGAGAATTCAAGTTTCATACTAAACGAATTAAGAACAAATGTGGAATCTTTTCGTTATGCATCCACCAAAATCCATACTTTGAAAGGAATTAGAGATACCTAAACCATCAGCAGCTTCATCGTCAAGCTTAGGTCGCTTCGGCTGACAATAATCAGATGGGTTTTTGCCATCATCTACAGAAACTTCATGATCAATCGAGCCGGGATGTTGTTCGAGGATCTCCGATTCAAGATTCTCAAGCTTGCGCTTGTGGTCAGATGGCTGCACGGGGATAGCGACAACATCTTCCTCCGCCATGTGTTGAACGGGAATAGTGTAAAAACGCCTCCTTTGGTGATGAATCGGCGACCTTGAAAACGTTAGGGCTTCGGAAACAGTGACTGGAGAGAAGAGGACGGGAAGTAGTGGTGACTTGTGAGCAGTGGAATGTGAATATATTGGATTAAGGGCTTTTGTGGGCTTTTTTACTGGGCCTATCGGACCTTACTCTTTAATTCATACACATTCTTTCTTTCATTGGCAAAAGAAAAAGGTCAAACTATTCGTAAACTAGGGTTTTTTAGATAAATAGTTCAAAAGGCTTTTCCTTTTCTTAGATCTAATTAGAAATTTTTTGTATAATTGTCGAATTTTGCTTTGAGATCAATAAAGAAACTTGTTTTTTTTTCCTGAACAACATTTTGTTTTCCCCCTTTTACTTCTTAAATTTACTGTGTGGGTTTTACTTGTACACTAGGTCTAAGATTTTAAGCGACTATGGGAAACTCAACTTCCCCATGACGAATTGGAGTTTGTTTTCGGATGCGTGGAACTCCTATAGATCCTCTGTCTTGTTTAGGAGTCCCTGAGAACTCGTTTTATATACGCATGTATCTTAAGAAAAAAACGAAATAATGGTTCTAGTCACTCGGTTTCGTTGACCAATTTTAAGGACACTTGAGAATAACACATGCATTATTTATGCATCATTAATGCAAGCCAACGTTACATGAATCGGAGCATTTGTATTAGAATACTACTACTCAAGCTATAATCATTTTCTATCATGTTGAGGTAATATTTTTATTCCAAAATTTACAACAACGATAGTTACGCTATTTTATGTCTTTTTTTTCCAGGTCAATAATATTGACTAAAAGATAAATGTAAAAACTTTCCCGGCTCAGTGGAGCTCGAAGGCTCGAATGGTTGGTACATTTATGTCATCAACGCAACTTAGCATTAATGAAGGTTCATCGCGAAAACTAACACCGAAATTCATTTTTAGGCACTAGAATCACCAACTTGGTCGTTTTGGATCACTTCTTCGCTTCCTGTTTCTCAGAAAGACTATTTGGTGACCTTACAAATGCATTCAGATCCTCGTTTTGTACAAACATAGCGAATGCATGGAATATAGTTTTTGTTTTTTTTTTTTTGGTAAAAAAAATATAGTTGTAATGGAGCTTATTGGCATCTTTAAATTACTTAAGTCATACAAATTTTATTTGGAGCTAGCTACGTGTTACAGTAAATCCAAATACAAAAATGTAGTTTTATTGCCCCTAAGCTTTACACGGATAAAGTGGAAAGCCGCAAAGACAATTATTATCGGCAAACGCGCTGGCCGGGAACTTTGTTACTGGAAGCTTTCCGCAAAGATGATTTTGACTCAAGTTCAATGTCTGCAATCTGATCAGCGTCGCGGGTACGTTCCCAAATACCAAGTTCCTTGACAGATCCAGGGTTTTCAAGAAGATCCCAAAATTCTGTTTCCCCAAGTCGAATCGAAGTTTGTTCCCCGCTGCGTGGAACTCAGTCAAAAAAGCCATCTTGTTCAAAAACCTTGCTGGACTCCCTGAGATTTTGTTTTCTGACAAATCCATGTGATTGTACGAAAAGCTGTATGGCGTCCAATGGTCTAAGCTCATCTTGATCCCGCATTTTGCAAGCTTCAACGAGTACATGAGCCTCGACGAGGTCACCCATTTGGGAATTGCTTTAAGGTGAAATCGGTTGTACGAGAGATGTAGATATTCTATGTCTGAGGAGTTCATGACAGGGAGTGGACCAGTTAGATGATTGTGGGAGAGATCGAGATTGTAAAGTCTAGTAAGATTGGTGAAACTCATCGGCACGACACCTGTGTAGCAATTCCTGGAGAGATTTAATGACAAGAGCTCGAATCTCGATAAATAGTCTGGGATAGTCCCCGATAGATTGTTCTGGCCCACCTCAAGAGCCCAAAGAGTCGGTGCAAGAGATGCAATCGATGAAGGAAGTTTTCCAGAGATTCTGTTCTGGGAGAGATCGAGATAATGGAGTTGTCGCATGGATTTGAATATATCAGGGATGATGCCAGAAAAGCGGTTACCGTTGAGTTTGAGTTGGAGTAATCTAGTAAAATTAGATATCGAACTTGGGATCGAACCGGTGAACCGGTTTCCCTCCAGACTAAAAGTTTCCAACTTACTTAATGCACCGATGTTGTCCGGAAGGGGACCAGAGAGACGGTTATTCTCTAAGTAAACAATCTTTAGCTTTGGTAATTTGAAAAGGAATTGGGGAAAAGATCCAGTGATCTTTCGAAGATCGGTGAGGCGAATCTCGTTGAGGTGCTGGAGCTTAGCTAGCAACGGCGAGATAGTGCCGGAGAGAAAAGTTTTGCCAGAATCTGTATTTCCATCTAGTGCCAGTATGGTGACGCGGTTGCCGGGGTTAACAGGGAGGCAAAAGACACCATACCAAGAGCAGCAGTCAGTACTTTTCTTCCAGGAGCTGAGAATACCCAAAGGATCTTGGGTTATACCTGATTTGAAAGCTAAAAGACCTGCCTCGTCATCAGGATGACATGTGGCAGCTCCCGTGGAACTTAAACACCGGAAAAAGATAAAGACGGCAATAAAGATGAAGAGAGGGAAGGAACAAGAGTTCATTGTGTTGTGTTTATTGAGAGAAGTAACTGAGAGCTATTAATAGAGGGAGAGTGTCGTCGATCGACTCCAGATCTGATTTCATTTTTGTTCTTCTTTACATAAAATAAAGTTGACGGTTTTGACTGACCTCTTTGCATGTGGCAATAGTTAGTGGTTTCCGTAATTACTGCATGGCAATAATCATTTTATAATTCCCATGACAGGCTTAAACAACTCTCTGTCGGTAATACCTATTACTTATGCATGTGTTTAGTTATATACACAAGAGATATGAGTTCTATGTGAATTTAGACCGTAACAAAGTAAAGAGATCTGATATCAATGTAAATCTCGATCTCAACAAACTAAAGAGACTTGACCACATGACATTGGTAAGCGTTCCTAATCAAGTGATATTTGTAAGCACTCTTGTATACTTCAATCCGTAATATCTACCGTTGCTTATTAATTGTTATATACTGGTTAGATAATACTTAATGATTAAATTAAGCAGCGATTTTTTGTTCAATAAATATTTGATCTAATAGTTATTCAATGTGTATTGCGTAGAACACAAGCAACACGATTTGAGGCGCGGTTTGTTACCAGAGTATTAAAGAGGTTGTTGGTCAAGTTGTTTTAGTGGGAGTTTAGAATTTAAGACGTTGGTTTGTTTCTTTGTTCAAAAAAAAAAAAGACGTTTGTTTTTTTTAAGCAATAGTCGTATAATCTCTACAATGCTCTAATCGATTTATTTCCTATGATTCATTTCCTGAAACAATTTTTAAACCAATGTTCAAAAGGCTTTTTCTTTTTTAGATCTAGAAAGCTCTCTCGACCAGCTCTTCACGACTTAGCCGCTCAACAGCTCTCTTCCGACAGTGAGAGGATATTTTCCGAACATTTACTTTTCACTAACACATGCCCTTGTCAAGTTGTAATGGAGCTCCTTCGTATCTAAGAGTTACATTATTTTTATTAATTCAAATCTTATTAGTTGTCACAAGTAAATCTAAATGCCAACCTATAGATATATTGCCGCTAAGCTTTACAAGGAGAAAGTGGAGAGCCACAAAGACAATCGTTACCCGCAAACGCGCTAGCTGGGAACTTTGTCACCGGAAGCTTTCCACAAAGATGGTTTTGACTCAAATTTAGTTTCTTCAGTTTAGCCACTGTCCATGGCACCTTCCCAAATACCAAGTTCCTTGATAGGTCCAAGATTCTAAGTGACTTTGCGAAACTCAACTTCCCCATGTCAAATTGGAGTTTGTTTCCCGACGCCTGGAACTCCAATAGATCCTCCGTCTTGTTTAGGAACCATGTTGGACTCCCTGAGAACTCGTTTTCGGACAGATCGATGTTATTGAACAATTTGGTCTTCACTGGCCTCCAATCGCTTAAGTTCATCTTGATACTGCATTTAGCCAACTTTAGTGAGTACAAACTCGTCGACGAGGTCACCCATTCCGGAATGGTTTTCAGGTTAAATTGGTTGTACGATAGATCAAGATAGCCGATGCTACTCTTCAAGGCATGGAATGGACCGGTTAAGAGATTGTGGGAGAGATCGAGATAGTAAATACTGGTTAAATTAGCGAAACTCGTTGGCACAACCCCCGAGTACTGATTCTTGGAGAGAACCAATGTGGAAAGCGTCTCGAATCTTGATAAATAGTCCGGAATCGTTCCCGAGAGATTGTTCTGGCTCAGATCGAGATATTTGAGGGTCGGTGCAAGCGATGAAAACGATGGAGGAAGTTTCCCGGAGAATCCGTTGCGGGAGAGATCAAGATGTTGGAGGTTCGTCATGGGTTTAAATATATCTGAGATGGTGCCAGAGAGGCGGTTGCCGCCAAGATTGAGCCGAAATAACCTAGTCAAATTGGATATGGAACTCGGGATCTGACCAGTGAACTGGTTTCCCTCGAGAATTAGGTCTTCCAACTGGTGTAGCGTGCCGATGTTGGCTGGAAGTGGACCGGGGAGATGATTATTCATGATGTTAAGGTACCTTAGCTTTGGTAATCGAAAAAGAAACAGAGGAAAAGAGCCAGTCATCTTTCGAAAAGAGATTAAGGAAATCACCTCAAGGTGTTGAAGTTTGGTCAACAACGGGGAGATAGTGCCAGAGAGAAAGATTCCGCCAAGAACGCTAGATCCGTCTAGGTTTAGTTCAGTGACGCGATTGCCCCTAGTGCAAGTAACAGCCACCCATGAGCAGCAATCAGTACCTTTCTTCCACGAGTTCAGATGGCCCAAAGGATCTTGGGTTATACCCGATTTGAAAGCTAAAAGACCCGCCTCATCATCAGGGTGACAAGTGGCAGCTTTGGTCGAACTTGAACACCGGAGAAAGATAATGGCGGCAAAGATGAAGAGAGTGAAAGAGTAAGAGTTCATTATTGTGTACTGTGGTGGGACTTAGAGAAGCAGTTGGTAAGCTATTAATAAAGAAAGGGTGGGAGATGACTCAGAGAGCAACTAGCGGCGTTAAAGTTTCAGATCTGAATCCATTTTAGCTTTGCATTTTCTATTACATGTGGCAAAAATTAATTATTGATCGAATTTAGCATTCCCACGAATGGGTTGAATATACAAAAAAATACAATTTAGATTTTTTTTTTAACCGCACGTTAATTAAAAAATAATTCTATGATTGGTTGCCCAGGACAGTTGAGATCTTTATTCCGAGAAATTAATCAAATTATAGGATTTTGTCACCACCAAGCGAAACCGAGAGATATGTTTCGAACCCGTCTCCTTTTCTCGAAACCGAGAAGATTGTGCATATGTTTTGTGCAAAGTAATATACATAGAATTGCTCGTTATAGAGATTATTTTCTCCTTTACTAGGACTCAGACCCCCCGCGATATCGCGGAGGAAATTGGTTATTCCTGCTTTACCTTTGGTCACCATTGTATGTGTGTTGTTGTCAGAAGCTTGAACTGGTTGAATGCTTACTGGAGAACTACCACTTACTTGAGATAAATGAAAGCTGTCGCCAATAGAAGCAGAATCAGAGTCTGTCGTACGCTCAGAACTCTCACTCATCTCAGCAGGTGGATGAACTTGAGTCACACTGTTTTGAGCTGAGGGAGCCTGTTGAGGAGAGATACTGACCGGTTGCTGCCTTTGTGGTAATGGTGGGAAGTCATCACTAGTGAACAAAGGTGATGGTGTTACTGCCTTTTTATGTTGAACTGGAGTCTCAAAACTTTTAAACCAAGCCTCAAGGAGTGGAGTTCTCTGCTGAGGATGGTGGTGTTGATATGTATGAGAGAAGGGATATGTAGTCTCATCAAAAATAACATGTCTGCTGATATAGACCCTTCCTGTTGGTGGATATAAGCATCTGTAGCCTTTGTACCTGTCATTATAACCCAAAAAAACACATTTAAGTGATCTAGGGTCAAATTTATTTACAGCATAATCTCGAAGTGTAGGGAAACATGCACAACCAAATGATCTTAGTGCTGTATAATCCGGAGTCTTCTTGTATAGCTTTTCATATGGAGAGACAAAGGCTTCTATTGTTGATGTAGGAAGAAGATTGATCAAGAAATTTGCGGTGAAAAAAGCTTCAACCCAAAACTTCAGAGGAACCTTACTCTGAAACAACATTGATAATCCCAACTCAACAAGATGCCTATGTTTTCTTTCTGCTAGGCCATTATGTTGTGGTGTGTGAGGACGTGAATTGTTTTGTTGAATGCCATTGTCTTGGAGATACTGAAGAAACTTTTAACTGATAAACTCACCACCTCCATCACACTGAAAAGCTGCAAGACGCCTATGCCACACTTCATCGCTTGCTGAGTTTTTACGAGTGGAGTAAAACGCCTTGAATTTATTGTTATCCTCTAGACAATATAGACCATCACGAGTGCTTCCCATTATGAGAAGCTTCTTGGTTGCCTTATCATTGATATGCACACTATCAGAGTCAAACTCAACAGTACATGGGTAGTCTTTTGTGAGTTTGGACACAGAGAGCAAAGATTTTGTAACACTTGGACAAACAAGGACATCAGTTAGAGGAACAGGACCTGATGAGGATGCTAGGTTTGTTGAGCCAGTGTGAGTGATGGGAAGATAGCTACCATCAGCGACCATTACAGCATCTGATCCATGGTATGCTTGAGATTGTTGCAGAGCCTGAGTACTGTTGGTTACATGAGCAGTAGCAGCTGAATCCGGAAGCCATTCATTACCTTGTTGATCTGTGATGTCTATAATTCTCATTGCAGCCAAAGCAAGAGGAAGTTCTTCATGTTGATAGCTATTGTTGAAACGGTGCCAACACTTGAGTGCAGGATGACCAACTTTGCCGCAAATCTGACAGGTGACAGAGTTGTTACCAGGCTGTGAGCTTGAAGAACTGCCTGAGGATGATATCTGCTGATGAAAGCCATGACCACGAGTACTGAAAGCTCCTCTGCCTCTATTGCGACCTCTTCCACGATTGTAAGTGTTGCGGTAGTAACCAGAGGAAGTAGAGTCATCAGAGGTAGTGATGTTAAAAGCAACATGAGGTGAAATAGTTGTTTCCTCAAGATACCCTTGGAGCCTATCATCATAACCAGTTAGCTTAGGAATGACATCCTCTAAGCATGGACCATGTATAGTATCCATTGAGTTTTCAATAGTGGTTTTTATCGGTTCATACTCACGGCCTATCCTTTTTACTAACATTCTGTAGACGTCTCTGTAGCTCAAACAACCTAGAGGAGGAAACCCTATTGAAGTGATTAGCAACAGAGATCCATACCTCGTGAGATGTTTTGCAGTTCACAACCACACTAAGTATGTCTTCAGAGAACGAACTAAGAAGCTAGGATTTGACCACACGATCTGTCTTGAACCAAGTGTAGTACTCTGGATTTGGAGAGGATGAGGTTGAGCCATCGATATCGGAGACAACACTGGTTTGATTTGGTGCAGGTTTCGAGCCGGTGACAAACCCTAGGAGCCCTTGGCCATCAAGGAAGGATTCGAACTGAGACTTCCAAAGGATGTAATTCTTTTCTGTGAGAGTAACTGTTACACAGTTTGAAATATTCTCCACTCGTTGTTATCTCTTTGCCAGCTCTGTTTTTGTCTTGACTTGGGGAAGCTTCCTGCGAGCTTCCATTTGAAAGAGATGACCGTTGCTTCTTCCTGGGCCGCCACTGGGCTTTCAATTACTTCTTAGCTCCGTTTGATGAAACGACTGTGTTTTGTCGTTTGCCAAAGAAACACTCTGTCTTGTGCAGAGGCTTTACTTCAATAGTGTTGATACTTCTCTTTGCAACTAGGTATTGTTGCGTTAGAGTTTCTTTGCTCATACAACTATCCCAAAAAACATAAAACAGAGAAGAACGTTTGAAGAAAAAAGTGATTCTGAAAACCTTCAAAAACAATCAAATCACTAGAATAGTCCTTAAAGATTTTTTTGTTGTATCAAGCCAATAAACGCTAAATACAAAATCACAGTTTATGGTTTTAATTAAATGACAAAAATACCGTTCTTCTAAGTTTAAATTGAATTTTTTCTTAATGATTCTACAATTTCATCAATTCCTCATTTTTAGCCTACAAATCGAGCGTGTGGAATTCGCTAAATAAAAAAAAGTGTTAAAAACACTACATACTTGCACTAACACAAATCTTTGTTTTGAAGCTTCTTCAAATCTTAAAATTACTTTATTCGTTATCAGTACATATATTTTTCTTTGACCCAACTGTCACATTAAATCCAAATACTAATTGTAGTATTCTTGCCGCTAAACTTGATAGAGGTCCAAGTCAAAGCATAAATAAGATTACACAACACAGATTTCTTCAGGCAAATTTCTCTGCCTTTTCTTTTGGCTTTTCTCATTTATATAGGAAACAAATAACAAATAGAATCAATCGTGATTCCTAGATTGCAGGGAAAATGAGGAAAGTGATAAAGTGAGTTCCTCACAATAAGGATGACCACTTCACATTATTTGCAGAAAACAATTGAAATAAAGAAAGCAATTGGTTAAGCCAATTACTCTTGGTACTCTCATTCTATTTCTTCATACGGTTTGGTCGTCGGTTTACTGCTTGACCAATTGTTGACTCATCAAAACTCTACAAGGAGAAAGTGGAGAGCCACAAAGACAGTCGTTACCGGCAAAAGCACTGGCTGGGAACTTTGTCGCTGGAAGTTTTCCGCAAAGATGGTTTTGACTCACGTTCAATGTCTTCAATCCGGCCACTGTCGCCGGCACCTTCCCGAATATCAAGTTCCTTGACAAATCCAAAGTTTCAAGCCTCTCCACAAACGTCAGCTTCCCCAAATCAAACCGGAGTTTGTTCCCTGCTGCTCGGAAATCTTTCAGATACTTCATCTGGTTGAGGAACCTAGCCGGACTCCCTGAGATCTCGTTTTCAGATAGATCGATGAAATCATAGTAGTAGGTTCCTGCTAGCTTCCAATCATCTAAGCTTATGTTGATGCCACATTTTGCCAGCTTCAACGAGTAGATGAACGGTGACGATATCATCCATTTCGGAATCGTTTTCAGATGAAACTTGTTGTACGACAAATCCAGAGATTCAATGCCGTCAATGCTATTCAAGACAGGGAATGCACCGGTTAGATGATTGTGGGAGAGATCAAGAATGGTAATGTTGGTCAAATTTGTGAAACTCATCGGCACGAACCCTGAGTAATGATTCTTGGAGAGAACCAATGTGGAGAGAGCCTCAAATCTTGATAAATAGTTTGGGATCGTCCCCGACAGATTGTTCTGGCCCAGATTAAGGATTGTTAGAGTCAATGAGAGAGATGCAATCGACGGAGGTAGTTTCCCGGAGAATTTGTTGCGGGAGAGATCGAGAGACTGGAGCTCTATCATGGATTTAAAAATATTTGGGATGGTGCCAGAGAGGCGGTTGTTGCTGAGATTAAGCCAAGATAACCGTGTCAAGTTGGATATCGAACTCGGAATCAGACCGGTAAACCGGTTTCCGTCGATAAGTAACTTTTCCAACCGACTTAGCTCACCGATGTTGGCTGGAAGGGGACCGGAGAGAAGGCTACCTTGAATGTAAACATACTTTAGCTTTGGTAATCTGAAAAGGAATTGAGGAAAAGGTCCAGTGATCTTTCGAAGAGAGGTGAGGTAAATCCCCTCGAGGTGTTGAAGTTTGGCCAGCATCGGCGAGATAGTGCCCGAGAGAAAGGCTCGGCTAGAAATGAAATCTCCGTACACTCTTAGTGCTGTGACACGGTCGCTGTTGATACAAATGACACCGCTCCAGGAGCAGCAGTCAGTACCATTTTTCCAAGAGCCGAGAATGCCCGAAGGATCTTTGGTAATACCCGATTTGAAACCTAGAAGACCCGCTTCGTCATCAGGGTGACACGTGGCAGCTCCTGTGGAACTTAAACACCGGAGAAAGATAGCACCTAAGATGAAAATAAAGGAGCAAGTGTTCATGGTGGTATTGTGTGTTTGTGTGGTGGGACTGAGAGAAGCATTTGGTACCTATTTATAGAGGAAGGGAGCGAGACGACTTGAGAGCTGCAAAGTCATAGGTTTAGATCTAATTTCATTCTCTTTGCATTTTCTATTTCTAGTAACACTTTTTTTTTGTTTAATAAAAGAAAGTTGATGATTTTGACTGATCCATTTGCATGTGGCCGTAATTAGTGGAATTATAATCGTGGCCGAATTTATCATTCCTACGACTGGCTTGAACACTCTTTCTAGTTGCTATAGAATATTTTTGTATATTATTATACTGAACGAACACATTAGATATGAAATTTTAGCAAAGTAAAGAGACTATTGATGACCGTTGGTAAGCGCTCCTACTCTGCGGTAATTCTTGAATTTATTAACCGGCGATTTTCATTATATTCTTGTGGAAGATTTTAAGACATCTTTGTAAGCCAATGGTTGTTGCGTAGAACACAAGTAACGAAATTTGAGATGAGGTTGTTACCAGAGTCTTGAAGAGGTTCTCTTGTTGTTATTGCGGAAGTTAATAAATTTAAGACATTGGTTTTGGCAGAAATCTCTATAATGCTCTGGTCGATCTGTTTCTTATGATTCATTTTCTAAAACAATTAGAGACGAGACAGTCCTTAAGAAGTTCCGAACTGGCAAATGAGAATTCTGTTCTTCTCTTTGCAACTAGGTATTGATGCGTCAACGCCTCTTTGTTCATGTGATGAAAGTCAACTGTCCTCAAAAGCATATAAATAAAACATTTTAAAAAGGAAAAAAAACTATTCCCAAAGTCATCAAGAACACCGGATCGTTCTAATTTTATATAATAAAATAAGGTTTTCACAAAGCTTAAACATTGAGAATATTGACACGTAGTATCCTTCTTTTTGAAATGTGTCTTTTTTTTCAATGCTAAATACACTATTATCTATTTTAATTAGCGTTATTTACATAATTATATTTATAAGCTACATTATCACACCTCTCACCATCATCAATCTCTCACCACCATCAATCTATCTATCTTCGCCATTAAAGGGTTTTCGGAAGCTTCGATACTTAAGGGTCTCGTTCTTCTGTTTTGTCGATCAAGTCTGGTCATCGATTCGTCGGAGAAGCTGGTGGTTTAGGGGCAATGGTGGTTTCTAAGTCTCTATCATACCTTTCTCCACCACGAACCTCGGGTAGTTGAGAAACTGGAGAAAAACCTTGTTTGGGGGATTTGAGAACTAGTACGGCTATAGTTTCAGGTCAGAATTCATCTTCCTCTTTGAGTATTTCTAGAAATTTTAAGACTGTAGCATCATTCTCTTCGAAAACTGCATGATTAACACATTTCCTCATGCTAGTCTTTGTCGTGAATGATTGGTCATGAATGATTTTAAAGGTATATAAGTCACTGATTCTGTGAGTTAGCCAAAATCAATTTTCATGGTTTCTTTGTCTTCTTTGTTAGGGTTTTAGGTGAACCAGAATTAGCATTCTTCTGTATCCGTTTGTCTTTAAGACTGTAGCATCATTCTCTTCGAAAACTGCATGATTAACACATTTCCTCATGCTAGTCTTTGTCGTGAATGATTGGTCATGAATGATTTTAAAGGTATATAAGTCACTGATTCTGTGAGTTAGCCAAAATCAATTTTCATGGTTTCTTTGTCTTCTTTGTTAGTGTTTTAGGTGAACCAGAATTAGCATTCTTCACCAACTTTTATATTGTGTGTGTTGGTATGCTAATCTCTCCTATCATTTGTTTCTCATGTTCTAGGACGATTGAGCTTCTCTTTGAGTTGTTGCTATGGTTTCTTTAATATGTTGAGCTTCTCTTGTGGTATCCCTGATTCTTTTCTCATTCTTAGCATACCCATAACCACTGTAGCTTCTGAATCTTCTTTTAGTATTGGATCTCATTTGATCAACAAATACCGGAGTCGACTTCTTCCTAGTAACGTCCAAGCGTTACTATGTACACGATCTTGGATACATGGTTACAAGGTTGATGATGAAGGTAAAAAATACTATTATGTATCAATCAATTTGCTTTACTTGGGTTAGTTTATACTACTAATATCTTCCCTTATAAATTGTAGATAGCAATGGCGAGATAGTTACTATTCGGTCGGATCCAATTTCTGTGGAAGAACAATCTGCTCTTTCTATCTAAATAGGTGTGTTCCCTTTCTATGAAAGGGTCAAGATTAAAATCAGCTTGTGTTTCAGATCTGTTCGTGTTTATATGATGAATCTAAGACGAGATTGTAGTTTACTTAGTCTGCCAGTGAGAAAATGTGAGAGAAGATGGTTTAACAGTTTCTTCGTTGTTTCTATTTGCCATTCTCAGGTCCAGATGGTTTGTTTGAGGTGAAGCACAAACAGAGTCTTGCGTGTTCACAATAACGTCTTCTTTGAAAGGCTAAAAATGCTTTACCGTATTTGTTCTTAACTTCTGTAATGATTTGCTACTCTCCTTTCTTTTGTTGGGAAATAAGAGTTCAAACTTTGCTTGGTTTTTGTCCAAGACTTATGTTTCCTTCAAATCTCTTGTGATTCATTCTCAATAAAAAGGAACTTCCTTAATTTGATGATGATGATGATGATGATGATGATGATGATGATGATGATGATGATGATGATGATGATGATGAAATGATGATGGTATGATGATGATTATACTATCATAGTTATTAATTATGATAAATATTTAGATTATAGAAAAATTATCAAATGGATAAACTCAATTAATCCATGAATCCAATAATTCAAATGAGTTATGGTTTCATCCAAACCATTTACTAAATGAATTGGATTGACTCATTATCCATTAGACACTAAATTTATATGGATATGGATTGGATTGGTTTGGTTTAACCAACTTGACAATCCTAGCTACATACAATAAAACATTTAGTAGAGAAATATTTTTCTTAAGGATGTATCAAATATGATAATATCTATTTAAATTAGCGTTATTCACATACTTATATTTATATGCTAAATAAAAAAAAAATTAGTAGGTAAATATTTTTCCTAAGGATGCATAATTTATCAATATTTTAAAACTTAAATAATGACCATTACACCTTATGAATATAAATCATCCATTTTTTGTTTACTTTCTTTTATATAATATCCCAAATTTATTTTATGACTTCTATTTTTTTTTTCTTTTTTTGTTGCTGTTTATATGCTTACAACACAACACAATCCACACACCACGAAATAAATTGTTCGGTAGAAAAAGAGGTGCGGCTCGGCGAGTATCTCTGAAATCGGAAAAGATCACTGAGACTCGAACGAACTGATTAGCATGCTACCTCTCGACCGAACGGTTATATCTTATGGATGGACCAATGAAGTGATCATATCGATGATTTGAGGAAGTATGCAAATTGATCGATGAAATGATTGATGGTTCAATCGGAGAAAAAAAAATTACAGTATTATGCTTAACTTGGTCGCAATCACCATTAGGAATCGAACTTTGAAGAGTAAAATTATTGTAAGATAAATCTCTGCGCACATCAAGAGAAAGCAAACATCATTGAACAAGTACATTGGAAGTTAGAAAAGACATAGATATATCTCTACACGTCAAGAGAAAACAAACATCATTGAACAAGCACAAAGGAACATTAAAAATGATGTGTATCCCATACAGATTTATGTTTCTTTCAATGAATTTATTTGGAATTCCCTTGTCAGCTTGTTTCCAGTCAAGAAACTGATAGGTAATACTTCAAAATTATTTTAGTGGTCATAGAAGAAACGATTCTAATTTAAACTAATGTTCAAATACTTACACGAAATCAACTATCTTCAAATTGGCGAATGACGAAGAAATCTTGCCAATTAAAAAATTAAAACAGAGGTCACTACAAAAAAAAAACACAAATTGTAAACCGATTATGGGGCATTAAGATCTAGTTTATCTTAAGCAAAAAAAAAACCTTGGCCAATAAACTCTGGATGTTTCCCCTTTATGTTGCATCTACTCAATTCCATGCGTCCAAGATGGACGAAGTATTCAGATCGATCGATGAAATGATTGATAGTCAATCGGAGAAAAAAAAACAATATTATGCTTATGTTTTGCTTAAAACATACAATTTTTTGTTTTCTTTCTTAAAGTTTGAAGAACACTTATAACATTTAATACAAAATGAGCATAAAATCCTACAAAAGATCCTATTCCCAGTTTTATATTTAATTTTATTATGGTAAAATTGCTGAAATTGCAATCTCTGTTAAATGCATACCAATAATTTCATTAGATATTTTAAAGATATGTTAAGTGTTTCTTCTATTCAAACTAATCATTTTCAATTCATCAAAAAAAACTAATCATTTTCAACATTTGTTCATTTTATTATTATAATAGTTTAACTTTGACTAATATTAAAAATACAAATTGTTTTGCTCAAAATTTATTTTTATTTTTGAAGAGATTTTTCTGTTATTTTTATTTGTAAAGTATATATGATAAAACAAATTATTTACGATTATAATTTTGCACTGGGTAAAAAAAATTTCTGGGTCCGCCATTGAAGAAGAAAACAGTAATGCTCCTAACACTAGACCAGCGGATCACACGAGTTTGACAAGAAGGACATATAACACCAGTATATTGAAAAAAGAAAAAAGATCAAGTAGGTAAGTGCCCTATTAAGTAGCTAAAAACTTCCATAGTGTGGCGAAAAGAAGCTTCCATAGTGTGCCGGATCTTCGTTGACTCATCTAGAGCCAACCACTCCTCAAACAAAACTGCAACAGCAGCTCGATCAGCATATTTGTCAGCAGGAATGTTGTTGTCCCTATCCAAGCAAAAAAATACATATAACACCAGAAGATATATGGCAAATAACATGCACGTTGAAAAACTACCTAGATGAAGATCGTCCCCTACAATTGATGGGGACGATCTTCTGGAAAAAAAAAATTGGCAAGAAAAACTACCTAAATGAAGATCGTCCCCTGCAACGAGAGGTTATTTGAAGATCGTCACCTGAAACTGGCAAAGTGAGATGGTTACTATAAAAAAAAAACTATTTATTGGACGATTTTGATCGATTAAAGCTTACTTATTGAAAATTATAAAGATATGAACTTTTTTTACGTAAGAACATTTTTTGTGCAATTAGTAGTAGACTGTTTTAGCAATTGTAAAGAGAACAAGAGGGAGATTATGTCATACATACCACCGGCATTAATGGTAGCTTTCAAGTTTAGAAATTGTTTTTAAATACCAAATTGTTGTGGTTTTTATTTGGAGATTTGTGGAAAATTTGATGGCCAATTTCGTTTATTATAACAAGTTAACAAATATAAGTATATACAGTATTGTATATTGATATACCTAAGACCCGACATATGCTAAACCAAAATACAAGTGAAAAAGTTTGCTATTCCACTATTTTATAATTAAAATAAATCCGACGCCTGTAAACATTATTACATCTCCAATTTTATTTATTTTGTTTGTTCATTATCATTTTTGGAACCCCATGGTAAATGGATTCTAATTTAGCATTTCAAATGAAAAAATTCAAAAAAATTGAACTTTATTTTTACTGCTTAGAATGGTAATCCTTTAACGATTAGATGATCACATAATAATTATATATGATTATATCATCCACGTAATTCAAAAAACAAAATATATATTTAATAAACAAAGAGAAAATAATCAGAACGAACTTGTAGAAATTTATATCTATATATACATTTTTGGATCACAATTAGCAAATAAATCATGAAGTTGAGAAGTATTTACAATGACATGCCATTAGCATTAATTCTTTAGATTTATTTTATTTAAGTAAATTTTTAATTGAAATTCATTTCTCATATATTTAGCAAAAGTCTCTACAAAATCTTTCCTTATCTATTTAAGTAAAGATTTTGAAATCAAATATGTTTTCAACAATTTACCAAAAATCTTTACACAATCTTTTTAAAAATCTCGACTTAGTTAACTTCTGATTTTTATCTGCAAAAAAAAAATTAATTGTAACGAGTGATGTAAAAATCGGGAATGTTGATACTACAATTTCTTCTACTTTTTTTTCATATAATGAAAATTATTTTTTAGAGATATTTTCTTAAAACCTCTAAACAAAACAAAAGGCTTCAAAAGATAGCTTCTCTTTTGGCGGGTCGACCCGCAAACCCGCAACTCTCTACGGGCTTATCCCATGAACTTGCGACCCGTAGTAGATAAAAATATTATTCAAAAAAAAATAACAAATGATGTTTAATTTTACGGGACGGGGTTATATGGTGCAACGGGTTTAGATCAATATTAATATTAAACAATATACTATAGATGAAATCCTAGAATTAAAAATCAAAATTTAATTATAAAATCAGAAACACTAAAGAAAATAAACAATATTAACAAAACAAATACAACTTAAAATTTTGCAAAATAATTTTTTAGTTATAAAAAAATCGACCAGCGGTGTACCGCGGGGTAAAATCTAAATTTAGAAGTTTAAAGAAAAAAATATTTTTCTAAAAATAATAGCTCCGCGGTATACCGCAAAAAAAATCTTCCTCCTAAACTGAGGCAAGAAGAAAAAGAAAGCCAAATGTCGTTTAAGTGTATATATATAGATATACCATTTAAACCTAAAACACAATTAATATACTCAAAACTATTAATATAGATATATGAATGGTACATTTATAAAATAGTCGAAATATTATATTATACTCTCTATTAATAAACAAAACTAATTATATTTAGATTTTTTTTAAAAAAAAATTATAGCCCCGCGGTGTACCGCGGGTTCAAATCTAGTACTTTAGTATTCACCAGTTTTGCAAACCAACAACGAAAAACTTATTTTAATTCGTATAAAAATCAATAAAGACAACACCCGCCCGTTTCATTATGTGACAAAATTCCTTATTATAGCTTCATGTATACTTTTTCATGAAGATGACATTTAAGAAAGCACATTGTGGACGTCTAGCTGATGAACCTCATAATTCTTTTTAGCTACATAGTACAACACGAACAATCGCCATCTTGGCCACCGGAGAAAACACATCACTATAGTCAAAACACTCCTTGTCATGGTTACCCAAAATCACAAGACGAGCTTTATGGCGTTCAGTGGTGCAATCAAATCGATATTTAATTGTAAACACTCATTTACTTCCAATTCTTCTTCTGTAGAATTCTGTATCAAATGCCACTAATTCTACTCTTTCTTTATTAGTTTTAAGATCTTAAACAGAACGAGCTTGAATTTTCTTCAACTGTAAAACATTATATACTGCAACAAGACAGCATGATAGTTCTATCTCTCTACAAACTAAACAATTAACCACAGATTCTAAAGAACTAGCACATTAAGCTACTTTTGGTTCTCGATTTGTTCACATATTCAGATAATAATTTGACAGATACCTGAAATGGTGATAGTGCATGTATAACTTTGGCCTAATCTAGACCAACACTGTATTCCTCTCCACAACCACATTTAGCAATGTAAGAAATTCCCTGCGACAAGTGGAGGTGGTCATTATCATATAGTTAGTAATCTAATCCAAGCCTATATAAATAAATCAATGTCACCTTCAGTTTCTCAGCCTGACTCTGCAGCGAACCTAGATACTCTGCCTCTCCAGACTCATCTGACAAGAGAGCTGTGTATTCCTCTTCTAGAACCTTGATATCCACCAACATTAACTCTGCCTGCATTGTTCACAAATTAAAGAACATAGTATAGTACCAGGTGCAGGAACAAATCTTACATGTCTGAACTCATTCAACATCACAATGCTTGCAAAGAATTCCAGAGAGTGATTACCTTAAACTCATTAATCTTGTGCTTCACATGCTCAATTGATAGCTTGATCTGACATGAAATTATATAATTCAGAAAAGTGCTCAAAGAGACACATCGTGTACTCAAAATTGTTCTTCTTCTTATTTAAGGAATTACTGGAAGGGAAAAAAATCTGTATATAGGACAAAACACATATCGCAAATACAAAGTGCCAGAACCAAAACCATCAAGAGTAATCAGGTCGAACTAAAGTAAATAACCTTAGAATTTTCCTGCATAAGGTTGGATCTCATCTGCTTTGCTTGATCAAGCTTTGCTCTAGCAGAATCTGTTAGTTCCATCAGGTCATTCCTTGTCTCTTTTTTTCTAAAGTATCAAAGATCGTCAAGAAAGGGATAAGAAATCCTAACATCAGTTACTATGCAAATATCTAAAATGTCTTGTAATGAAATAAGCATTTAAAGGATTCATAAGGAGAACGAACCTGTCCTTGTTGACCAGTTTCATTGCTCATATGGGAGATAAACCAGCCCTGGCCAAAATAGGACAATAGAAAGATGACTCCAATTGGAAAACAGCGAAAGAGATCACGTGAAGAAAAATGAAAATAACAAACCTTTTGCTCCTCAAGTTTGGTTCTAACTTCTTCTGCCGTCTTGACATAGCTAGAACTACAATTAGAAACAACGAAATTCACAGCAATCAGGAGGTGTTCCAAAACCACAATCCAGTTTTAGGGAGATGTTCTTTGAATTACCATTTTAATACAAGTTCTTGCAGATAAACTGTCTCGTTCTTGGACAAATGTGTGCTAACTTTCTATTAAACAAGCAATACTTAGAAGCCCAAATCGAGGTGCACCGTGCACGTCTTGAAATACAAGATACTGCATGGAATAACCGAAATAAATATCAACAACAAAGGTTTACGCAAACATCAAGTCAACACTTAACTACTTAATTTCAAGGACATCCCAATAATCTAAAGAAAATCATGAAACGTCCCAAAAACAGTGTAGATCGGGTCAGTAAGGATGATGATGATGATGTCCTGTCTGAGGATAAGGCACGGAGGTAACTCCAGGAGGATAAGCTGCCGGAGGCACGGATGTAACTCCGGGAGGATTAATTACGCCCGTAACCATGTCCCATGACTGGTGCCGGAGCCTGCATAGGCGTTTGATGTGGACCATGATCAGTAACGTGGTAGTGAGATTGCTTAGTCATAAGCTTCTCTTCCGCATGAGCCGCTTTAGCCATGTGCATATCCATTTTAGCCTCTGCTTCTTTCGCCTTTCTACGCTCGTGTGCTATCTCTTTCTCCTCTTTCGCCCTTGCCATAGCTTGCTCCGCCTATATGGCCACGTAAATATCGTCACGTCATTGTACTAATCATATTTATCTACATATTATACACACACCACACGTTGATATAAATCATTATTAAAATTCGATTGGGTACCTTCTCATCTGCTTTTGCTTGACATATCACCATCTTCTCTTTGGCTGTACTAGCCATATCGCTTATCTTCTGTTTCGCCGATTGCATTTTTTTTGTTCTTTTTAATTTTTTTCCTTTTTCGTTTCTCTAGTTATAATTGAATGATTATTGTTTGATTTAAATAAAAATGTATTGAGTATCTTGGTCGGTTCAAATGGGGCGTATTAGTGCCACGTTTTGTTAGCGTCGCCACGTGTCTTGGTTCAATTCCTAGGCCTCGATTCAGCTGCCACGTAAAAATGCTTCGTTAGTTCGTTGGCTTACTCTACAGATTGATATCCATTACACGCACAAGTCGGAAATAGATGTATATGGTGGTTTAATTGGCCGGTTTAGACTCGATGATTATTGAATTATTTGTAAACCGGAAATTAAAACCAAAATCCTTCCGGTTTATGATTTACGCAGCGAATGGTTGGTCTCTTTCCCCGAGTTATAGAACAGTCGCGAAAATCAAAATCGCCCAAAAGCATGGCTCTGATTTTGCCCTGTACATTTTGTACTTCGCTTCAGCGACAGAATTTTCCGATCAATCGTCGACGATATTCTCCGAATTTCCGTCGAGGAGCTACGAGATGTGAGTTCCGAATTCCTGTAGAAGTTTCCACTCCATCAGATAGAGGATCGTTGGATGTTCCTTCGCATAAGGTCACTGTTCACGATCGGCAACGAGGCGTAGTTCACGAGTTTGAGGTTCCGGAGGTAAGATTTTGAGCCCTATGTATATTTTGATCCGTATTGCTATTTGATTTTTGCGGAAAATGTTGCTGTTCTTTGCTGCGGTTGCTGCTTATGGTTAAATTCGCGACACAATTGTTTCATATCAGAAAAGAAGCTGCAATTGGAGAATGGTATAGCTTGGATTAGTTAGATTTGCTTGGTATTCTAGAACTACTCCTATATAGAACGCAATGTATGCTCTGGAGTGTAGAGATTCAAGTATTGTATAGCTATGGATCAATCTTACTTGGTATGTTTTGAGCTGTTTTTTGTGGCTAATCTAATGTAGATTCTACTTAGGTTCAGATGCTCTCTTTCTTCGATTTCGATGTTCAAATGTGTAAGCGGAGGAAATTAGAACGAATTCTCTGCAGGTGGCTCTCTTGGTGTAGAAAACATATGAATCAGCTTGTAGTTTTTTAGACATTGCTTAGTTTGGTTGATATAACCGCGTTGTCTGGCTTATCACTGGTTTCATTTTGTTGATACATGGAAATCTATTTGAAATGCAGGATCAGTATATATTGCACTCAGCTGAATCTCAGAACATTACTCTTCCGTTTGCTTGCAGGCATGGTACTGTTCTCTTTACCCGTTTCAGTTGGTTGCTAAAACATTTGAAAGTGTGTTTATGTTTCCTTGTTGTTCTACATGTACCGTATATTTGAAATGTGAAAGGTGATGTAGATGATTAGGATAAGCCAATCACTAATGGACGTATGTTAGAGCCATATGCATGAAAAAGAGAGTCTAAATGTTCCTGTGAGATTTACATGTTAAAAGTATGCTTTGGCAAAGCGTGCAACTTAGTTATGTGTCTCATCTACAGCTTCAGTTTTACAATCTTACTTTGGCAGGTTGTTGTACTAGTTGTGCCGTACGTGTAAAATCTGGAGAGCTGAGGCAGCCACAAGCATTGGGAATATCAGCAGAGCTGAAGTCCCAGGTAAGATCCCTTTACCTTTGTGCTTTAGAGAGGTAGGTTTGTGATACGGCTAGAAACACAAGTAGGCTGGAACTACATAGACAATTTGTGATGATGGTAATCGGTGTCTGTAAAAAACTAGGACCAACTCTTATTGAATCAACAATAACAATGCAAAGCTTTAACAAATCATTCAATTGTAAGGTTGCATTCTCCTAAGTGAATCTCATTGCTTGACATTATACAGTGTCAAAGACTTGTCTAATTGTTAGTGTTTAGAGAATGCGTAACGTATTTTAGCTGGAACAGCGTCTTATTCTTAGAAATGAATTATATTGAAGCATAGGTTTAAAACCCTGGTGGTAATAATAGGCATGATAATCACATATCATTTGGTACTTAGATTTTGATTTCAAGTTTAACTAGCATTTTAAGTTCTGTACCTTATACATGCAGGGGTATGCACTTCTTTGTGTGGGTTTCCCTACATCTGACCTTGAAGTAGAAACACAAGACGAGGACGAGGTAACTTATTACGCTTTTGAAAATCCAAGAACTGCTGCAACAGTACTAGTCCTCTCTCATTACATTCTAGTTACACAGTTCTAAGTCTTATATAACACACAGGTCTACTGGCTACAATTTGGAAGATACTTCGCTCGTGGACCAATTGTAAGTTCTCAGAGCCAAAAACAAAACCTTGGTCCAATTTTCTTGTTACAAATAGACTGCGACCCGTTAAAAACTTAGGGCTTTTGGTACTCCTAGCTAAAACATAACCTGCAAACCAACAAATGCGTAAAAAGACTAATGGTGAAGTGTATCTAGAGACATCGAATAGATAGACTGGAATCTGTCAAGAAACTTGGGGATTTGTTTATTTTAATTGGAGGCCGTTCACTAGGACTAGTAACAGATGTTGTCAAAGAGATCAAACTTAACATTATTATTATCAGGACTCAAAATTGTTTAAAAGTTGTGTTAGTCTTTCTTGGCATTGGTCTTTTAACAGTTTTATCAATGTTACACTGCAGGAAAGAGATGATTACGCCCTTGAACTCGCCATGGGAGACGAATAGAAACAAAAAGAAGCATGTAAAGTCTCAAACATTTCTGTATTAGAAGTGACTAGTGAGTGTTTTTTTTTTTTTTTTTTTTGTTATAGGGTATAGTGACTAGTGAGTGTTACTTTCTTGTTAGTCCTGAATCTCGTTGTGCATCCTCGTAAATCTCTTAATGAACTCAATGATATTCTGATAAAACTTCCCAACAATTCAACATTATATGAATAACATTTTAACCATTAACTCCAAATTCAAACATAGTTTTATTTGCATATCTCTAGCCTCTAGTTAAAACCCTTGGTTCTAAGTAATGGTCAATAATTCAATTTTGGACATGGAACACATAATTACATATTCGTGGTCCTTGTGAGAGGGAAAGGTAATGCTTTTGTGACCGTAAGAGATGGTGATATTATGAGATAACAATGTGGGCATATGAAATGCTTTTGGTATATGATGCTTTATTCTTTTGTTATCTACCAAACTTTATTCTTATGTGTAATATATTTATTTACTAGAAGGTCTAGAACCTTGCATAGAATATACCTCATTGATATTTTCTTAGAAAGGGTCACTTTTGACATAACGACACCTAAGTTGAAAACCGACTGAAAAACACTCACCAACCTTTTCTGTAATGATATGTTCCTGTCTCAACTTGTGTGTGCAAAAACCCGAAAATAGTGGTCTGATTTAGTTTGGCAGTTGCTCAAAGCTGTCAGATTTTCAATGGACTATTCCATGTTCCAGTGTACTTTTGAGTATGATACATTTCCGTGAAGAGTAATTTGGGGTCGACTGTGTTTTTTTTGTTTGTGATTTTTTTTGTGTGTATGTGGTAAAGTTCATGTGTTTTACACTTTTTTTTATTTTATTTTTTTTTACATTTCGTCTTTGCAGTTTTCATACAATGCTATTTGATTATTATTTTTTAATGTCTTTTGATAATTCAAATGTAGTTTTCAAAAACAATATATATAATTTTTCAATCAGAACTTATTAAAAAAAAAGGAAAATAAAATAGAAATTTAAAAACAAATTTGTCTTTGTAAGAGAATAATAATATATTAATTTTACTAATTTTTTTTAACAAATTAATTTTACTAAATTTATTATGTGAAAAAATGTTAAACAATTTGTATTACAGTATGGACTATGTTTATCGTTTGAAATTATTGGTTTTCAAGTAACTTTTGTTCACATTAAAAATGTTTTGAAGCATTGTTAATAGCAATTTATTTTTGGTTACTACACATTATACTTGACTAGTCAAAAAGATCATCTTATTATAAAAGGAAGTCTATAGATATCTATCTCAAACTCACAAGCAGAGGACAAAGACACGAAAGTAATCTTATCCTTAAAAAGAAAAAACGACTTGAATTCTCCAAGCAAATGTACATATATGTCTATGTCACAAATCTTGCCGTGATCCAAAGAAACGAAAAGACATTCGAAAGACACTTAAACCAACCAAAGATCAAATCATATGTGAACCCGTGAGTGAAGTCCACTCCAATTATCTATAGACAGATTGCTTCGAATTATTCAGATATGTTTTATTTATTACATATCCGTCCTAGTGTTTGTCGTTCGTTTTATAGTTTCTTATTATTAAAAATTGTTCATTTTTAGTTGTACTATAAAATTTTGTTTGTTTTATGGTTCTTCTTTAAATACTACTTTCACTCATACATATCATAGTTATGAAGCTTCTTCATATCACAAAACTTCTTTAATACAAATATTTTTTTGAACTATAGTTTTCTTGTCGCTAAGCTTTACAAGGAGAAAGTGGAGAGCCACAGAGACAGTCGTTGCCGGCATATGCACTAGCCGGAAACTTTGTTGCCGGAAGCTTCCCACAAAGATGGTTGTGACTCAAGTTCAGTTTCTCCAGTCCAGCCACGGTCGCTGGCACTGTCCCAAACTCCAACAAAAACATCCAGGGTTGTCATCCGCTTTGCGAACGTCAGCTTCCCCATGTCAAATAGAAGTTTGTTCCCTGATGCTCGAAACTCCAACAAAAACATCGTCTGGTTCAGGAACCATGCTGGACTACCTGAGATCTCGTTTTCCGACAGATCGATTACATCATAGAAGTTGAGTGCTGTTGGCTTCCAATCGTCTAAGCTCATCTTGATCCCGCATTTTGCTAGTTTCAACGAGTTAATGATCGGTAACAATGTCACCCATTTCGGAATCGTTTTCATTTGAATTTGGTTGTACGAGAGATCCAAAGATTCCATGTCACTCACGTCCAAGATAGGGAATGGACCAGTTAGAAGATTGTGAGAAAGATTGAGATCATATAATCTAGTTAGGTTGGCGAAACTCTTCGGCACCACACCTGAGTACCGGTTCTTGGAGAGATCCAATAAGGAGAGACCCTCGAATCTCGATAAATAGTCCGGGATCATCCCCGATAGATTGTTCTGGCCCACATTAAGGCCCCAGAGAGATCAAGATATTGGAGCTTATTCACGGATTTGAAAATGTTTGGGATGGTGCCGGAGAAGCGGTTGCTGCCAAGATTGAGCCGAGTTAACCGAGTCAAATTGGATATGGTAATCGGGATCGGACCGGTGAACTGGTTCTCCTGAAGATCGAAATGTACCAATTGGCTTAACAGGCCGATGTTTGTTGGAAGGGGACCGGAGAGACGGTTATTCTGAATGGAAACAATTCCTTTAACTTTGGTAATTGGAAAAGGAATTGCGGAAAAGATCCCTTGATCTTTCGGAGATTGCTTAAGTAAATCTCACTGAGATGTTGTAGTTTGGCTAGCGAAGGCGAGATAGTGCCGGAGAGAAAGGTTTCGGCAGCATCAGAACGTCCGTCTAATTCCAGTAAGGCGACGCGGTCGCTGATGCAAGTGACACCCTTCCAGGAGCAGCAATCAGAACCTTTTTTCCAAGAGCTGAGAAGACCTGAAGGGTCTCGAGTTATACCCGAATTGAAAGCTAGAAGACCTGCCTCATCATCAGGGTGACATGAGGCAGCTCCGGTCGAACGTAAACACGGGAGAAATATAACGGTGGCAAAGATGAAGAGACCGAAGGAGCAAGATTTCATGGTCGTGTAGTGTGGTGGGATTGAGAGAAGCAATAGGTAAATTATTAATAGAGGTAGAGAGACGACTTGAGAGATATGGTATCAAGATTTCAGATCCAACTTTATTTTCATTTTGTATTCTCTATCTATTTTCTTTTTGTTTTTGTTTAGTAAACCTAAACTTTTTTTTTAAAATGTATACGACTTTGACCGATCACATTCACATGTGTTTATTATACACAAAAGATATGAGATCTATGTGAATCTTGAGCTTAACAAACTAAAGAGACTTGACCACATGTTACAGGCATTGGTAAGCGCTCATGTATACAATTCAATCCGTAAATCGTTATTCACTCGTTGCTCTGCTGTAAATTTTGAAGTTATATAATAAATTCAATCAATGGATGTTGCGTAGAGCATAAGTAACGAGATTAGATTTGTGATGTGGTCATATTGTTCTTGTCGAAGTTAAGAGATTTAAGACTTTGGTTTGTTTAAGTGACCAGAATTTTTATAATGCTCTGATCAATTTGTTTCCTATGATTCATTTCCACAAACAATTTGTTCTGAGTTTCTTGTCTTTCATGTGAGAAATGAATAAACATTAAAATACAAATTGAAAAAAAATAGAGAAGTGTTGGATACTTGGAACCAAGTGTAATTTGTTATGTTCTGTATACAAATCGTTTTGAATCCAAGCGTCACATTAAATCCAATTATCCAAATACCAATTATAGCTTTTTTTTTAGCCGCTAAACTTTACAAGGAGAAAGTGGAGATCTACAGAGACAGTCGTTACCGGCAAACGTACTGGCCGGGAACTTTGTAGCTGGAAGCTTTCCGCAAAGCTGGTTTTGACTCACGTTTAATGTCCTCAGTCCGGCCACCGTCGCGGGCACCTTCCCGAATATCAAGTTCCTTGACAAATCCAAGATTCCAAGCGTCTCCACAAACGTCAGCTTCCCCAAATCGAACCGGAGTTTGTTTCCTGCGGCTCGGAACTCCATCAGATACTTCATCTGGTTGAGGAACCTAACCGGACTCCCTGAGATCTCGTTTTCAGACAGATCGATGGAAACGTAGTAGTAGGTTCTATTAGAGAAGTAAAACAATCTAATTTCTCATTAAAGATTATTGTTGCTGTACAATTGTTTATATAGTAAGAGATAAGATTAGCTAAGAGTTAGCTGTACAATGAGTCATTAACCCTGTTAATACTCTGTTTTCTCTGTTAACAGAATAAGTATATTCTGGTAACTTTCTTCTTCCTTGTTACTTATACTCCAAGATTCTGCATTTGCTTCATATACACTGATAGCCCCCCTTAAGCTGGCAGAAAGAGATTCGAGATGCCAAGCTTACCAACAAGATACCGGAACTGTCCAGGATATATCGCTTTAGTCAAAATGTCTGCAACCTGCAAATCAGTCCGTACATGAGCCAGTATAACTGTTCCTTCCTTGACTCTGTCTCTTACTGTATGACAATCACGCTCCACGTGTTTTGTACGTTCATGAAACACAGGATTGGTACCAATGTGTATAGCGGCTTCATTATCACAGTAAAGAACAGTCGGAGAAGTAGGAGGTATGTATAAGTCTGTCATCAAGCTTCTAATCCAAACAATTTCGCAAACCGCCAAAGCCATTGCTCTGTATTCTGACTCAACAGAAGACCGTGACACAATCTCTTGTTTCTTAGATTTCCATGAAATAAGAGAGTCACCAAGAAACACACAATAACCTGAGACAGATCTTCTTGAATCCGGACAACCACTAAGATCAGCATCAGCAAAGGCCTTTAATTCCATGTTAGGATCAGAAGAATAAAAAAGACCTTGACCAATAGTCCCTTTAATGTAAGCCAGAAGTTTCAAAACTGCTTTAAAATGAGGAACTCTGGGTGCACTAGTGTATTGAGCCAATTTTCCCACTGCAAAACATATATCTGGACGGGTAATAGTCAAATAAATGAGCTTCCCAACAATGCTACGATAGCTCTCTGGATTAGCATATAATTCACCATCATCTGCAGACATCTTCTGATTAGGTTCCATAGGAATTGAAGATGGCTTACAAGCCAATAATCCTGCAGAATCCAGTAGTTCCAAAGCATATTTACGTTGACACACTGAGATTCCAGC